AATCCAGAGCTTCTCCGGGCGCCAGCACGGCTTTGTTAGAATGGCTACTTTTATCCTATTTTGTTCGGACAATTAAATTTAGTAAATGAACTTTACTGGGTTCGTTTTTCTTATACCATTCGGTATATGGACGAATTTTCGTAGAATATGTATGTGCTTGTAGGCCGTGTGCGAAACATATATAGTATTATATTGCTTCGCACACTGTCCGCAAGCCGAAAAACAGCGTATGGTGAGGAACCCAGCTTGACTTAAGTATGAGGACTAAAATTACGAACACGTGCTGCACATTCCATACTGGCAGCAAAGAAGTCAAGCTACAAGATAGCCTTGATTTAATTATGTCTACGTCTCTTACTCCTTTCTGCATCGCGTGCACCCCCTCCGGTAGCCTACGTAACTCCATCAGCCACTCACAGTTTTCAGCCGCGGAAAAATATCCCAATACTTGTTGAAATACTCCTGCAGGTATTCAGCTTCGTTCTTCGATAGTTGCTTGAACTTAGGGTGAGTTTTTAGTGTTGCTGGAGTAATTTTTTCCTTGATCTCCATCCCTTTCAGCAAGTCCAACACCTCGTCCGTTAGTTTATGGAAGATTGCTTCCGATTCCTCTACGGTTTTGCCCTTGATCATGTGCGCTGCCTTGGCATCCATTTCGTCTAGTTTGGTCAACCACGCCACGAAACCAGCGATATTATCTGTCAACCAGACCGGTAAGTTTCTCTCTTCGCCGTCCGTGTATCGACCAATTTTGCTATCATGCTTCCTCAAATGCTGCTGGGTGTTGATTCTGTCGTGGGCAGCAACAGATGAGGGTTCAAGGTGGATGGAAGCGGATTTGGAGAGATCGGTCGTCAACGCGCCACTCGCGCTAACCAGAGCGGCGACTGTAACAACCAGCACGGTGACGCCCACACGCATAGCAGGTCGTAGGCAGACTGGTGCGGAGTTCGACGAGCAAGTTGGAGAGTGATCCTAATTAGAAAGAGTTGGCGGTCTAACTTCTTCGCACACATCTTGGGTCCAATCATGGCGACGGTAGCAAAAACGCAACGCATCGCTTTTGTTTGTTTGCCTCTGCTAGGAGAGTGACAATTTTGAAAGAGCCGGCGAACCATACATGTAGTGTACAGAATTGCACTTTTATTATTGGTGCTTGTATCGTAATCAGAACGGCAATCGTATTGCGAGTACATATATCGTAAACACAACAGAACTTGGAAACTCTGCTGATATGATAGTCTTTTAGGCAATAATTCGTTTTCTTTACAGGTTAAGGTAGCTATGCGCAGGTATACATTTTTGCAGCCTGTAAGACTATCTGAAACTATATTCAGTAATCTACCTCAAAATGGTTCTGTAATAATTGTCGCGAGTTGTCCCAAGAAGCTTTCACGTTAACAAAAGCAAACATTTTGAATGCTGGGACCTGTAGACACATCTCCTGCGCGTGCTTCGCAGCCGCAGCATCTGCTCTGGCGAACCAGCTAAGTAACGCGTTGATTACATCGTCCAGCCGTTTTTATCCAGGTTAGGTTAAGTTCACTATTGTAAAACCAAGTGATTGAAGGAAATCTATCTTTTTGGCTGAAACCGTCTAGATACACGAGGACGGGTGTCATGGACTTCAAATTCTATGGTAGCTGTCCTAACGCAAGGTGAGTTATATTGCCCAGCATCGTTCATCACCACCCCTTGAGCAGCCGACAATATCCTTGCGCGAGTGCTATTAAATTGTTCTTGTGTATGGAGTTGTAATACGCGAGGTCTACAAAATATAAATATGTTGTCATTATGACTGGGCAAAACAACTGAAGCTACCGGCTGCAACATAAAATTTTGCGGTATCTTATATTATTGATTTCTGAGCGGTACACATTTGCACTCACGCAATTTTGCGGAGACGTGTTTTACCTCTTAACATAGTAGACTTGATTTGTGATTGATTTTGTGTCATTTTGAAACATCTCCAAAGTTTGTGTTTTAAGAATGGATTCACCCCTCCCTAGACGGTGAATTTGGCCCTTCGGGTTGGACAGCTTTACTTAGCAGCTGTCCCATGACAACCCTACGTTTGATCGAGTGTCCACCCTTCCGTTGTCTCACTTTACAACTCGCATTCTAGTAGTCAAACCATTCCTATCGACACGAGCTCAATGCGCCTAAGTATCATCATTTTGGTGCTATCATCGGTCTGTTTCGCACCCCGCACTAGCTCGGCTGCAACTGACCAAGCAACTTCTGCAAGATTTCTTCGGGGCTACGAGACAGCGGACGTCGAAGAAAGAGCTCCGACGATAAAGGGAAAGTGGCACTGGGGCCCCTTCTCCAGTGCAACTTGGGAGAAAATGCTTAAAGACAGCACGTATCGGACGAACATGTTCAAGAAGTGGGACAACTACCAATATGAGACAATCAAGGCGAGAATTGGAGAAGAAATCATCCAAGGAAACGAGGATCTTGCCAAGATGATACTGAATTATGTTCAAAACCACCGCGTCTACACGTAAGAGGTTGCTGCTGATGACGAGAAGCTAGTAGAGTGGAAAGCACATTGAATGAATGCAGGTTTGCGCATTAACCGTTGTGATGAAGATCGCAATTTAAAAGAGGGATAGAGATGAACACATGATGGAAGGAGGAATAAACGCGGTTGTGCTCAGCCGGAAATGCTGATACATAGCTGTTTGCGACTTGCGTCTCAGATTGACCAGTCCATTCGTAAGTATTTATCACCAGTGCACTCCCGGCAGAGTCTTGAATCTCGTGGCCGTGTCGCTAAACCGTATTCGCACCAAGACAGGGGTCGAAATGTGTGAAGTACACTTACAAAACAACAGTAGTACTGCAAGTGATCCGCGTAAGTTAATTCTGAAT